ACGTAATTAATTGAAATTTCAAAATTATCGACGTTTCTATCTTTATCTGGAATATTTACCTCTTCGAAGGTGATTGGATCCTCTTTTGAGGTATCATTATTGTTGATGTTATCTTCAAGGCCGATATTTTCAAAATGTTCATTTTCTTCTTGAGAAGGTTGAACTTCTTTGGCATCACAAACTACAACTTGCTGTTTAAATTTTCTTGGTTTCAAATCTCTTGAACCAAGTGGTCTACCACGTTTTTTACGTATCATAGATTCATTAGCAAGTGTTCTTTCGCTAATCTCCGCAGGAATTTCTATTCGAGAAGGAGCATTCATAGCTGGAACATGTGACTTTGTCACTTTCTTTGAGTCTGTGAAAGCATCAGGCAATTGGTTTGCAACATTTTGTAAATGAATAATCTTTTGAATTTCTTGTTCACAAGCATTTGTGCGAGAATCAAGAAAAGATAAATTTGTTGCATTCCAAGTAATATCTTTCGTACATGGGTCCATTTCTTTAATATCTCCCCCTAAGGCTGGGAATACTGTCTCATCAAAATGACAGTCATCGAACCGCGCGGTGAATAAGTCACCGATCATAGGTTCTAGATAATTAATAATTGAGGGTGATTTAAAACCAACATAAATTCCCAGCCTTCTTTGAGGACCCATTTTAGTACGATAAGGTGGAGCAATTGGTACATACACAGAACAACCAATATTTTTATGTGTGATATATTTGGTTCTTTACCAGATATTAATTGCAACGGGGAAAATTTATGATATGCCGTTGGCCTAAGCCGAATTAAATTTGCAGCATGCATTATAGCATATCCCCATGCAGATGATGGTAATCTGGATTTCATCAATAATGGTCTAGCAATTAATTGTAATCGCTTAATTAAGGATTCGACAAGACCATTTTGTGTATGTACATGTGGAACTGGATGTTCCACATCAATCCCAATTGACATGCAATAGTCATTAAAAGATTGGGATGTAAATTCTCCTGCATTATCAAGTCGGATTTTCTTTATCGAATAATCCGGAAATTGTGATCTCAAACGAATAATTTGAGCAAGGAGATTTGCAAATGCAAAATTTCTAGTCGATAAAAGACTGACATGTGACCAACGTGTTGATGCATCAATGATCACCATAAAATATCCCATAAAATATCGAAACGGTCCACACGGAGGGGTAATTGGCCCACAAATATCTCCTTGAATTCTTTCTAAAAATGCAGGAGATTCAACTCCAATTTTGTATAAAGATGGCCTGATAATTAATTTGCCAAGAGAACAGGCAGTGCACGGAAAATCACTTGATTTTGAAATTTTGACATTATTTAATGAATGTCCAAGTGAATTTTGAATAATTTTGTGCATCATAGTGCTGCCCGGATGACCTAAACGGTCATGCCACAAGATAAAAGAATTGTGGTCATAAATTTTAGATACCACATTTATCTCAATTGGACTGATATATGTATAATACAGTCCCGAGGAATATGCTGGCATTTTTTCAGAAATGTATTTATTGCCAGATCTATTTGTCGTTAGACATAAATATTCCTTCTGATTTTCAGACATGGTTTCAATATGAAAACCATTTAGACGCAAATCTTTAAAGCTCAAAAGATTTCTCCGTGATTTACTGGAGTATAAAGCGTCTTTAATTATTAATTTTGTCCCTTTTGGGAGAATCACACGGGCTATTCCAGAACCTTCAATGAGTTTAGCAACACCTGAAATTGTATTGACATTAGCATCAACTAATGTCATATGAGAAAAATAATCTCTATGTCTCAAAATGGTGTGCGTTGTGGCACTGTCTATTAGACATTGTTCAGAGCCACTTGGAGAAATTTTAGTTAACTCCATATCTTCGCGAAGATAAAATGAACAAATATTAGTTCAATATTGTAATATAAATTGTACTTCACTTAATAGTACATTTAATTGTGCATAACTTTCACGTTAAAAATAAGCACTACTTTAAATTTCTATTTTGAAATATACTCCATACTAGATAACAAGGAGAAAATAAAGTGAGTTACTTTATTCGGACTTTCAATAAGAGAAGTGATTTAGGTCACATATTTACTTCTTATTAATTTCGACCTCATCATTTGAGATTAAAAACGATCATGAGTGCCGTTATGAGGGGTTATTCCCGGCAATTGACAGAAATGTACATAATGACCGTTTTGTTCAAGTTACTGTCATACCAATTGTTAAGGGGCCCTCTTAACAATTAGAGATATGCAACTCATAACCAAAGGTCCATAAAGTACAAAACTTATGCTCGTTATTTTTAATTGAAAGATTGTTTTTTATACAGATAAAGTCATAAAGACATTTAAAGAGATGGAAATAACCATGTTGTTTTGGATTCACTTTACGTGAATGAAAGCCAAATAAGGGAGTAATAATAATAAACATCCATAATGTCAACTGATAACTCAATTTAATTAGTACTCAGTATAATATAATTATACTACTACGGCAGTACGGCTAAGTTGGTTTCAATATTATTCCAACTAATGTGTTTATTCAAAATAGTCAATATATACTAGAATAATACGTATTACATTAGTTATACGATTACATATATTATGAAATGATTGTGTAGTACATGGGATCAACTTTATTGTGCACCATAACTTATTAGAGCACGTAGATCCAATCTTAATTAAGGTAGCATGTGAACTATGGGTTGGGTTTTCAGAAACCAGAATTGTTCGTACTTCAATCTTGTTTGAAAAATCAGTATATTTATAAATTGTCCGTGTATTGCGGAAAATGTATTGAGCCTCAATTTCTGCCTATCTCTTTAACTAGAGATATACGGAGTATATAATATATTTAATTAAAATATTTCTGATACATACAATCATTCATAATATGCTATAAGAAAGCGGTACGTATAATTGAACTTTTAGTTCATATTCATCATAGTTTCATTGTTCGGCAAGAAAAGTGAAGAATATTAATTACCAAGTATTTGGGAATCAAAATACTGGAATAATAGTAGTTATACACTTATACAAATTAGTGTACTACATGTATATACTACTCCGTCGCAATATTACTACGTACGTATGTAGTATAATGTCATCAGTTTATCATTTAACTTAATAAGACAAATGTCACATGCATATGTTTCTTTTGCAGGCCACGGAAATGACACATACATTGACTTTTGAATATATTAATTAGATTACAGCTATTCAAGTTTTTGGAATCCTTAATTTTAATTCACTCTGTTCAATGTTTATTTATTTTTGTACCCGTATGTATCATCCTTTTGCTTCTCGAGTTATGAATCTTCTCACAGCCTCACCTTCAAGGCTTCAATCTCTTTTTATTAGAGTATTTTTCTTTCTTGAGTTCACTCACCATACTTCCTTGTTTTCCTCTAGCGTATCAGTATAGAGGTAAACGATTCAGTCTCACTTCATATTTTATACTATCGTACTTCGGTATTTAGTTTTTAGCTTAGTATATTTCGGCCAGGAGTACGACTTTGAGTAGATAAACATATTATACAAATTTATCTACAGAATTTGGTTATTAAACTCCTTTTCTCACTTTGAGCATGTACGACGCATAGTTGAAGTCTTGAAGACCTACGGCCAGAGTGTTATTCAAGATAAGCTGATCTCATACGTAGTATTAGTGAGTTCTCTCCTTATACTTTTATATGTTTATGGTTTTCTTTGGTTATACCCCATATACATACATTATAATATTATATTATCATATACAAAGTATATTTATTCATATATATACATATATAACGTAACTGAGAATCAGTGATGTGCCCCGTAAGTAGTGAATGTTCAGATTCTAATAAAGGAGCAGCATATATATTTAAAGATAACACCAATTAAAGGTATCTTTATCTTTTTCCCTTATCTTTCTTTAGAGAAAATATAGCTATAATTTTCTGATATGGAGGATCCCAATTGTTGGGCAACCATAGAGCATACTTCTTATAGTTTTGAATATATACATAAATATGTTTATACTTCTCAACATCTAATTTTTCTTTTCCAGATAAGTTGATAAATTCATGAAATAATATACCTGCTGGGAAGATGATGATTCCAGGATTTGGAGCAAATTCGTGCTGATAACGTGTTATAATATGGAAGGAAATAAGCAGAAGATCAGGGAGAGAAATATAGTATGAACACTTAGTGAGAAAGATGTTATTAGAAGTGTGATAATGGTGTAACCATGGTGTGTTAATTACAATGGAGAAGCCTCCTATTTATAGGAGAAAAGTTAAGCTTCATAGGATTAGAGGATAATTGTGAACCACACAATTATCATCTAGAATCATAATTATGATTTCCTAATTATTTATATAATGGTGATAATAATTCCTAATCAGGAATAGTTGGAAGATGACTAATTCAATTATATTTCAACAGATATTTATTATTATCATGATTATTATTATTCTTACTACTAATATGGTTGTTGTTGTTATTGTTATTAGTTTTGTTTTCGTTATTATCATATTATATGGAGTAATTACAATTTAAATTATAGAAATAAATATTATAATTATAATTAAAATTATAATTATAGAAATAAGTATAACTATAAATATAATTACAATTATAATTATAGCTATATTTATAACTAGTGCAATACGTATAATAATAATTATACCTATTATAATTATGTTTGTAATTATAATTATAATTTTTATAATTATGATTATAATTATAATTATAATTGTATTTAAATTATATATGTGAATTACATTTATAATTATAGTAATTATAATTGTAATTATAATTTTAGAAATATTTAAATCAGATCAGATCAGAAGGATTCAGATGAGATCAAAAACATTCAGATCAGATCAGGAACATTCAGATCAGATCAGAAAGATTCAGATCAGATAAGAAAGATTCAGATCAGATCAGATCAGAAAAATTCAGATCAGATCAGATCAGAACTTAAAAAATTATCAGAAACATTCAGATTAGGTGAAAGAACATCTTCTTAGATTCCCTGTCCCCTTTTGAAACACAAAAATATGGTTGATGCATCTACAATTCTACACATTCATTTGCAGCGCACTGAGATCTGAGTCATCCATTTGCCAGCCCCGTTACCGGCCGACGGAAGAGTCGCAGTAAGATGTTCAACCGGCGAATGAACTCGTCCTTCTCGTCCGCGATTCTTTTACTTTTTAATTCTATCTTCGTATTTTCTGCTCCCTCTCTTGAGGAAAGCTCGGGTGGAGAAGAAAATGCCCGCCGAGTTATGCTCAGCTTCAAGGAGACGCCTAATGGAGTTAACGTCACCTTTGAATGCTTTCCTTCTGGTCCCTGCGTTCCTTGTGCCTACTCCGAAAAGGTTTTTCTCTCTTATTTCCCTCTTGGTTTTCTACTTTCCACGGTAGTTAATATTTAATAGATAAATTTCATGTACGGATGAGTTTGATCAATAGTTGCGACGATTTCATTATTGAGCATATCTTCTTTTTTCCTGCTAATCGATTAAATTTGTGAGCTTATATGCTTAATTGAACAGTGGTCATACTGTGAACCTGTATAAGAAAAAGGTAGTACGTGGTTGGTTGTGGAAATTGGAGTTTGTTGCAGATTATGCATTTATGCTTATAAAATTTCTTGTACTACTAGTAATTAACTTCTGTTGAATAAAACTTAATGCCTGCCAATCATTATGTGCACACAATATAATTCTTTCACCCTAGTGGATGGACATTTCGCAAACCAAGTTCACTACAAATGATTTATCATATGTTGTTTTTTGGACAGGGAAATTTAAATCCTTCACATTTGTAATTACAAACTTCTTTGAAACTTAGCACTAACTACTAACTTACTAAGTACTACCAACTTTGATACTCTTTATTTTTCTATAGAGTGATACAAAATACCGCTGCAGTGAAACTGGGTATCGAATTCCGTTCAAATGTGAAGAAACTAGAGACCATCTGGAGGACGCAAAGAGTATGAAAAATCACAATCGGTCTGATTTAGAGAACGCAAATGCTCATACTTATCCAGTAAGGACAAGAATTTTGTTAGAGGATTTATCCACTTCTGAGAGTGGGTTGCAGGCTTACATAACTTACAGAAGCTGTATAACTACAGTTAGTGAAGAGAGGTTGTCAGTAATTGGTTTTGAGGTAAGTAGATAGTACATACCTTTACCGCACCTATTGAAAAAGTGTTTATTTCCAGAGACATACTGAAATGTGTTTGTGTGTACCTTTACCATCAACCAATGATATGACCCATGTATCCCATGCAGCTGTAGATATTATAAACAATTTGGGTCACCACTGGGAATGGTTTTAGATTGTTCTGTCTTGTTTTTTATAATATAAAAGTATGCTACATTCGTCAAGAGAGATCAAGTCGCTTATAGACTTATAGGAGTATTAGAGTATAAATTCAACATTATTTCCATCACTGAACACTGTTATCATAATAATATCAGTATCATTGAATGGGACATCTTTTTTCCAATTTGCATTGTCAAGTAAACTACCCTCAGTCCATATATAAACTTCCTGTTACGACTTTCACGGATTTTAAGTAAATCAATTATCCTTAACTTCCAGAAATGCCGTTTTACGGGGGCAAATAGTACTGCAGAATCTACAGTTTTGACACTCTACAACTACTGTTCACAATGCAAATAGATAAAATGTAATGGTAGTATATAGTAAATTGATAAAAACTTCACCAAATAAGGAAGAAGACTTTATTTAGAATGTCTTGAAAAAGAACACATGAAGATTCAATATGGAAGGAAGTAATGTAAAATAGGGTGTACTCTAAGGCTGCAGTGCCTTTTTTCCTCAATAGAGGTAAAGGTTCTCCAATACTCACACTCAGGGGTGGAACCAGGGAGGGGCGAGCCGGCGCCGACCCCCCCCCCCCCCTCGCCTGAAATTCTAGGGTTGCAATGCTGTCAGTTCCAATCTTCTAGGGTTGCAATTATAGATATATATTTAGTGGCGCCCCTGCCCCCTGGACTTCTTCTAGCATGCTTCTCCTGTTTCCATGGTTGCAATGCTGTCAATCGTCAATCCTATGTTAAGCGTGTTTGAAGATGTTGATTCTTTTTAACCTAAAGCCAAACGGCGTAGCTGTTAAGTAACTTTAAAATTAAAAAAACAACATCCTAGCGACCCTGATCAGCACATAATCTATTACTATGAAAGTTTGAAGTTTGAACTCTCAAACGGGCGAAATGGGCCGAAGGGTGTGACTGCGTGAGGGAGTGAGCAAATAGGCCGATAGATGATTTCTTATGTGAGCAATATTGGGTCTTCACATCAGCTTTGACTCCAGGAATTTGGAGTTTACGGGTTTATTAAAGCTTACTCCCCATTTATAAATTATAATTATAATACTTCCCTGTTTTTATTATTTAGTTGTTTATCTTGTTGCTAATTAACTTAATTTTTTGATTTTGACTTTTGATTATTTAATATACGTGTTTTATAGTTTAGAATTTTAATAATCTTTAACTAGTTAGTGATTTAAATGACTAAACTAAATAAAAAGACTAATATTTTATAATATATTATACCATATTGTAATATATAGGTGTTTTAAGTTTGGGGTTTCCCCTTAAATATTACTGAAATATAACTAATGGACAAAAATATTATAGAAATTGCTCAATATATGACTAAAACATATACAAAGTTCAAAAATAGGACTAAATATGTTTAATTCCCCAAATAGGACTTATTTAGTCCTATTAATAGAATAAGTTGATTAAACTTCCCAAACTAGGAGTGAGCGAGTCTTATTTTGAATATAAAACAATGATAATCTTATTTATGAACATTATCCTTGTTTTAGTCATATTTAGGGAATTTTCTCAAAATATTACTATAGTTACTATGCATAGTCACTATAGTACTCAGTTGAACACAATCATCATTACTAAAGTTATTGTGGGAGCATCTCCCAGTGCGATAGTGTAGTGAAGTGTAGTTCAACCTATGTGGTATAGGAGATAGATAGATAGATATGGAATGGTTATTTTAATTTAATTTAGAGAAAGTGGTGGTAGAAAAAAATGAATAAAAGGAGAGAGATAGAAGTATAGTGTATACAATGCCTATGACAATTTCCACACATGGACTTTACATGGGATTCGAGGAGTAAAAGTGAATGAAAATTGGGTTAAATGTGATGTAAAAAATGAAAATGAAAATAAACATGGAGATATGTAGGTCATATACATAAAAATTGTGAGATAAAAAACAAAAACCACGTGTAAGGGTGCGTAAGAGGACTAGACATCCCCATTGGAGATGCTCTAAGTTACGATTACGTACATATATTTGTCCACTACCTTTATGTCAGTTATATATTTGTCACTACCTTCAAGTCACTATATTTTTGGGGTTTAGCCCCCCTTCAAAAATTGTTCTGGTTCCGCCTCTGCTCACTCTCCCTATTATCTTCTTCTTTCATATCTTCTATTACACTCATTTTGTTTAGATTACCTTCTTAAGTTCCTTCTGAACTACTGCCTGTGTAATGTGCACAATCCCTATAGTAATGATGCATTTAGTTGTTTGGCTCAATGCTTTTGATTAGTTAGTAGCCCAGTAACATCGGATATCTAACTGTAAGTTACTCCCTCTGTTTTAAAATACCGGTCCATTCGAATAAAATTGTGAGTTTAAGGTGATCATTATTCATTAAAGGTGTTCAAAATTTATAACAATTCTCCATTAATTTTTAGGCATTAGAAGGACAAACAAAAGTTAAATAAATGAGGACAAATTAATTATTTGACTATGTTATGTTTTATGTTTATCTAAATGAACAGACATTTGCGAACAAAGTGATTATAATAAATAAATAGCTATTTAAGAACAGATGGAGTGACAACCAATGTATTTTTGTCATCATGTATCATCGTTGCAATGTTTCTTCACCCATGATTTGTTTTTTCTCCTTAAATTGTAACTCTGTTCAATGCACCCCCCTTCCAGTCAGACACCCCCATGAAAGTCACATGAATATATGTATATGTATTTCATTCTGATCATATTTATTATTTTTTGTAGGAAATAATGTTGGTTTTGCTGATAATAAGTGGTTCAACTATTTACTACAAAAAAAAGCGAATGAATGCAGTTCCTGGTGGCATGCCTGTAAGGATTCCTAGTAGTTCTCGAATTTGAATCAAATGATGGCACTGACTGAAGGTTAGGAATGTTTTGTCTGAGTCATGTTGTAATTTTGATATTACTGGACCACACAAATCAAAGCCTTTTTCGAATGCATTAATTTTTTTCTACCAGCATACGCATAAAGGCAGGAAATGTATAGGTGAAGTAAAAGTAGCCTGTTTTTATTGTACATCTGAATTGCATTTAAAAATATACTTGATTTTTTTGGTCTGAATAAGTCAGAGTGCTCTAGGCTATAGAACCGGAACTGAAGCTTCAGAAACCAATCCTAATAATATGTGTATCTGTAATCCAAAAAAAATATGTGTATCTGAATAACTGAATTGAAGGAGTTTAGTAATTAAAATAGTTATAATGTTGTGCAACCAGGAGTTTTTAGGATTTTTAATAATTTTACATATTTACATAAGTTTCATAACAATATTATAAATTCATTCAGTACTATATGTCTCTATTATGAATTTAAAAATGCTACTCAAACTTTTGTTTCTCAATGGTGCAATAGGGATTCTATGCAATTGGTTGGGTTTACAAATTCACTTTAGCAGTGCTGGACAGCCCTGGACTACATTAAAGTTAGAAAATTTGTTAACACGTTTTAAATTTCATTTCCTCCCAAAGGAATCTTCTAATGTGAATATACGGGTTAAGAGGGATGACCCCATTTGCATAGTCCTTCGACGATGTGATATTGTTTTTGTAGCAGTTTAAGCAATTGCAGTGGTTCAAACAATGATTAAATTGATGTAGGAACTTGGAAGTAAATTTACCTTAGAGCCCATTTGGTAACATTGTTATTCAGCTTATCAGGCTTATCAACCAACTTTTTCACCTAACACGTGACTTTTGATTTCGCGCGCTGAAATGTGTAATAATAAGACAAAGTAAGGTTGAAGTTACTTTTCTGACTGTTTCAGCTGAAGTTACTGTATAAGATCATCTTAGTTATTTTTACATATAATTTTATCTTTATTTTATTAATAAAATATATTTTTCTTTCTTTCAAAAATCAGCAGAATTAGCCAATACAACCATTTAAGCCATAACTTCATAAATTTTAGTGTTACCAAACATGCTCTTAATTTTTTCAGACCTTGAATGAAATGGTTACAACTTACAACTCCTGATAATATTTGCTCATTACATCTAGACTTCTAGTTTTGTTATTGGTCTTATTCTTGACCCTCACAAACACTTGTAATGGAATGTTAACATACTACTATCATTGTCTGTGTTAATTATCCTCGATATGATGATAACAGACAAAGTAAATGCTCACTTTGCTTACGTAAGTAATTTTCTTCATAAAATGTATAATGAATTTCAAGCAATTTGTAATAGTACATCTGTTTAATAAAAAGAAGACATTTGTTGATCATCTTCCAAGGAAAAAGTTTCTTTAGAAGTATCACAAAAACATCTTATGGAAAAACTGAATGTGCTACTAGCCTACTAGTACGCTGTAACAGAGCTCAAGTAATGATTTCTATTTAATATGAGTATGAAGAAAGTGAAATTTTGATATTTTGAAATGGTGGAAAGGGGAACAGGTCATGTTTTTCGTATTATCTAATTTGGTGAAAAAAGTTCTCTCGACATGGGTGTTTACAATTGAGGTTACAATTAAATAAGAATTTGACTTCTCTGTTTCACTAAATGATTAAAATCAAGATATCATTTAGAAGAACGGCCCATTGTACTGAAACACATTTCATGGAGGCGGCTATGGGCCTATGGCCGCCTATGGCTCAAGCTAGTTAAAATTCCAAAGAACAAACTTCCTATTCATAATTATAAAAATAATAAAATAGAAAGTAATATTGTTAAGAGAAAACTTCATGTCAGGCCGGCCTGACGGGCTGCCCCGTCCGGCCGAGCCCGTTTGGGCACCTTCCCGGTGGAATTTTTTGATGAAATTTTTTGAGCATGTTCCTCATCAAGTCTAGTTTGTCCATACCAAATTTCAGCTTAAAATTCAATCGGGAAGGTCGTCAAATGATTTTTGCAAGTTAAGTGGTCCGGAATATGTATTTTCCGGACCAGTTAACTTGCAAAAATCATTTGACGACCTTCCCGATCGAATTTTGAGCTGAAATTTGGTATGGACAAACTAGACTTGACGAGGAACATGCTCAAAAAATTTCATCAAAAAATTCCACCGGGAAGGTGCCCAAACGGGCTCGGCCGGACGGGGCAGCCCGTCAGGCCGGCCTGACATGAAGAGCACTCATATTGTTAAAGGATTAGATTGGTTTTGATACCTATCAAACTAACAAGAGAATAAGTTCGAAAGAACAAACACCATCTAATTCATAATTATATAGTAACATGTAATAATGTAAAAGGATTAGATTGGTTTTGATACCTATCAAACTAAAAAGTGAATAAGTTCGAAAGAACAAACACCATCTTTTTCATAATTATATAGTAGTACGTAGCATGTAATATTATGAAAGTTGGTTTTGATACCTCTTAGACTACGTATGCAACTTATCTTGCATGTAGTAAGAATATTTTCACTTAGATTGTAACGGCCAAGTTTACTGATTGAGATGTCTTCCAATTTTCATTTCTGCTTTTCGTTCTATAATTTTCTGTTTTGATTTTCCAATTTTTCTATCTCCAATTTTCTGTTTTCATTTTTCTGTTTTTCATTTTCAATCTGAAAACATGTTTATCAAATTGTTCACTCGATTTTGAGACCGACCAGAAGATTGAAAGTATGGTCCGATTTTCAAGCATTCCAGTCCAGCTGGTTGTGAGGTTACCGTGCTTAGTGGGAGGTCTCGAGTTCGAACCCCGCTAGGCACACAAGGGTGTGAAACTCAATGGAGTGAGTTTCAGCCCTGATTACTCCAGGCTCCCCCCAGCCCCCCTCCTCCAGACCCCCCTGGAGTAAAAAAAAAACAAAGTATGGTCCGAGTTCGAAACCAAACCTAGTATAATCCAAGTAGGGTACCCGGTCCCAGTCAGTCCCAATGGTTAGTTTGACCAATTCTTTTTCCTTTTTTCTATTTGAAAAAATGATTTTTTTAAAAAATGGGGACCGAACTATCTGGTCATCGATCGGACCGGATAAGGATCACCATGTCGTCGACTGGACCAGACAAGGACTGCCAAGTCATTGACCAGATCACCCTATCATTGACCGGACTGGACAGAGACCGCCAGGTCATTGATTGGTCCGAATAGGGACCCCCGGATCGTTGACCGGATCATACAAGGACCACTGGGTCATTGACTAGATCGGGACTGATCAGCTGTCGATCAGATCGAACATCAATCGCCAAGTTGTTGACTAGACCAGGCATTGACCATCGGGTCATCGATCGGACAAGGACCGCCGGATCATTGATCAAACTGGACCACCGGGTCAATGACCAGATTGGACAGAGACTGTCGGGTCGTTGACCGGAACTGACACCGGAGCGAGACCGGGTCCACCACTAGGCGCAAGCATGCAAATTCATTGTATCAGCACTGCATAGGCTTGGACTCGGGCCGGGTGGCCCGAACTGGTGGACCGGCCAGGGACCGGTCCGAGTAGGCTCGGCCCAGGGGTTTTACGGTGCGGGCTCGGGTCAATGAAATATGGAACCGGCCCGGCCGGGCTGGGCCCGGTTCGGGCGTTATTCTTTTTTTTCATTTTTTTTTAATTTCCCGGGTTTGGCTGGGTATTTTGGGCCATTTGGGGTGGTTTGGGGAGGGTGAGGGGGGTCAGGGGTTAATTAAGAAAAGGAAAAAAAATAGAAACTGGCCCGAGGCTCGGACTGACCCGGACCCGGTGGCAACCCGGGCCGGTCCCGGGCCTTCCCCCAACCACAAAAGGCCCGACCGGGCCCGGCCCGACTCCATGCCTAGCACTGTGCACTGCCCATTCACATATTTCAAATTTGGAAAACTAATAAAATCCACTTCTCCAATTCATAAATCTTAAGGAAAATAGAGACATATCCCATTTTTTCGGTTTTAAAAATGATTTGGTAAATGCATTTCTCTATTTTTCCTTCTCCGATTTTCTAGCAAATATTTTTCGGCAAACACATTTTTTGTTTTTCTATTTTTCAGTTTTCTAGTTTTCTGAAAATGTGGAAAATATATTTGTTACTAAAAAAAGCCTAATCGTTTGGTGTGTAAGACCTGATATTATGTGGATTTTGCTATTGTGCAAGTCTAATCTCGTGTGTTCGGATATGTTTAAATCCGATTTTATCTTATTTTTTGTTTTAAGTCTGATTTGATCTGAGAGTGGAAGTAGTCCAAGTGAAACATTAAGGAGTTGTTTACTAACAAAAATATTTTCCAACTTTTCAGAAAATAGAAAACTACAAAGAGGAAAACAGAAAACGCGTATACCGAAAAAAATTGGTGGAAATTGGAGAAAGGAAAACAGGAAAATGTGTTTGCTAAATCATTTTCAAAAACAAAAAATGAGACATGTCTCTGTTTTTTTAATGAATTGGAAAAATGAGTTTTACTAGTTTTCCAAATTTGAAATACGTGGATGTTACAGTGTTGTTGCAATGAATTTTCACACTTACGCATAGTGGTGAATTCGGTTCCGCTCCAGTCCCAGATCCGATCCGATCTACTCAACAACTCGACAGTCCATGTCTGGTCCGGTCAACGACTCGGCAGTCCCAGTCCAGTTCGGTCAATGACTCGGTGGTCCCTCTCCGGTCCGATCAATGACCTGGTGGTCCCTGTACGATCTAGTTGATGATCGGGGGGTCTCGGACTGATCCGGTTAATGATCCGGCGGTCCCTGTCCGGTCCTATCAATTATCCGACAGTCCCTGCCCAATCCGCAACTGGTGATTCTTGCCTAGTCCGCACCCTGCGATTTCTACCCAGTCCGCACCCGACGATTCCTGCCCAGTCCACACCCGGCGATTCCTGCCCGGTCCGCACCCTGCGATTTCTACCCAGTTTGCACCCGACGATTCCTGCCCAGTCCACACCCGGCGATTCCTGCCCGGTCCGCACCCTGCGATTTCTACCCAGTCCGCACCCGATGATTCCTGCCCAGTCCACACCCGGCGATTCCTGCCCGGTCCGGTCGATGACCTGGTGATCCAGTTCCCATTTTTCAAATCATCTTTCAAAGTGAAGAGTTTTAAAAGAGTCATTGAGATGTTAACTAATAAGGAAAAAGTAAAGAATTAGTCAACCTAGCCGTTGAGACCAACCAGGATCGGTAGGTTTCAGTCCCAACTTTCATATACCCAGG